CTTGCGTTTTTATATCCGCAAAAAAGCGGGGGGGGGGGGGGGAGGATGCAGATGCCTAGATGCCTCCGCCCCTGCCGGCTCCCATGATAAGGCCTATGAATATTAACAAGGGCAAATATTGCAGTAGAGTCCTATAGCTGAGGAAACGCAGACGGCACTAAACACCCGAATAAAGAAAGACTTCCGGGATGCATTTCAAAAGTGGCAGAAACGCTTGGATCGGTGTATGCGCTCCCAAGGGGACTACTTTGAAGGTGATGGTGCAGAATAAGATCTAGGTAAGACGTAATAGATTTTATTAGTATACAGTGTGTTCCCACGACTTTAGGGCATAACTGCAGAAGGTGATTTCCTAGGTCTTTGTGATTAAAAAAGTTCATATAAACATGTGTCCGATTTTGGACGGTTACGGAGTTATGACCGTTTTTTCATTCCCGTACACGCCCTCGTGTCAACCGCGTCTGTCAGATGGCGGGTCGCTATTTTTAGCCAGCTAGAGACAGAGCGTTCTCGTTATCTCGACACTTGAGATGTACCTAAGGCGGGGTGGGTTGGTATGTACCCGCGCGGTTCACAACCGAGCGGCAGCCTGTGTTGCGGCCGGCGGTGACATTTTCGAAAATCAGCTTTAAGCACCAATAAATTCAAATTAAAGGTAATTTCACAAAGTTAACTTTACATTCATACTTTAAATGTATCATGTATTATGCTGGTTTATTATTTTGGTCCGTTTATTGTCAGTAATCGTTACCTTCTGTTCTGAGTTTAAAGCGGTCATAACTCCGTAACCGTCCAAAATCGGACAATTCTGGCTCAGGATAGGGACCGGTGGAGGGCTCTTGTGAACACGGTAATGAACCTTCGGGTTCCATAAAATGCTGGGAAATTCTTGAGTAGCTGCAGAATTGGCGGCTCCTCCAGAAGGGCTCAGCTCCATGAGTAAGTAAGTAACATGCACAAAACATTTCAAATTTGAGGTTCTCAAAACTATGAATTGTAATGTTTTCTGTGCTGTGACACAGTCTAAAAACACAATACGAGAACTTTGTAAGGTATAAATTTAGAACCTTCATAATAAAATGAAAGAAGCCGGAATAGCTCAGTCAGTACAGAGTCCAAGCTATGAGCTGGACAACAGAACAACTTTGGTTCAATTCCCAACAGGGGCAAATATAATTTCCGTTTTTCACGGGGTCCAGATAGGCTCCGCCCCCACCCCCAGCGAGTTTTCTCTGAGGGGATAAACAGCTGGGGAGCAAAGCTGAGAATTCCCCTCCATCTGGTGTCGAGGGCAAGAAAGTGATTGGCTATACCCCCACTCCCGTGTAAGTCTTCATAGTATGATGTTTAATTTAAGCAAAGAAAACATCTCATAATGAGTTGGAATTGTTTCTGCATAAATGTAATATTTTCCCTACAATTTATTAACGTCGGGTATGATAACAGAGTACAAACGGCTGTCTTCTGTCAGCACTGTAATGAACTCTGCAGTTTCAGGAAGCGAGCGACTGATTATCTTAAGTTTTCATCGACAAAGTTGGCTCAAGCGGTAACGTTTGTGACACATTCGGAAGGTTCCCAGTTCTAATCTCGGCAGTGAAACAGACTATATTGGGCGCCGTTTTCCTCAGTCACTCCAGGTGAAAGCTGCAATCGTTTCTTTACATAGGCCACGACCACTTCCGTCCATAATCAGCCTACCATTATTGATTGCTTCATCCGGTTGCGGTTAAAGCAACAAAATTTTCATACAAAACCAATTGAACATCGTTGTGTTAACTTTACTTTTATTTAGCGTCTAGTTATCTGTTTCGATCCCTGTTTAGATCATCATCAGGCAATTTCTTAAATACGTGCTTGTTATTGGATTGTCCTAATGTAGATCCATATCGGTCATCATCATCAGTAATCTGTCAAGACGACAGGTCCACAGTCTCTTCCAAAACAATTCCTCCATTTAATGCGATCTAGAGCTTTCTCCTTCAAATGACAGTATCCTCTTCTGTCCCCAAGGTCATCCAGCATCTTCTTCCTCGTCTTCTTGTCACTTCTATCCGCCCCTCTATCTTTCCTTCAATAACTTCTTTTAGAAGGCAGTTTCTGGTAGAACATGACCAATCCAATTAGCATTCCACTTTATTTCGTGTAGGATATTCCTCTGCTCACTGACTCTAATTAACACTTCTTCATTTCTCACATAATCGGTCCAACTGATCTTCTCCATCCTTCTCCAACACCACATTTCGAAACTTTCCAGATGTAAGAAACACGTCAGAATATAAAGTTACCTCCATATCGGTATTATTATAAAAATCCGTTGATTTTTATATCAATTTTTAAGTAATGGTATGCATTCATGGCGTTACTGGCTTCTTTGTTGTGACGCCGTGTCCTTTGGTAGATACATACAAAGGTTTCGGAAGAATTTTCTGCCTCCAGCTTCTACCCTGATGAAGTACGCAGCAGGTTACTCAGAAACGCTGATACCACTCTACCAGACTACAGGATGACACATTTCAGAAGACATAAATCTTCACATGACGGACGTAGAAATAATATGAAATGTATTGTCCTCTGGGACGTAACGCTGTATAGTCTGGTAGCATACTGACGTTTCGGAGGAATTCTACTTACTGCTTACTTGGTTTACTCTTAATGCCTTATGATTGAAGGAGTACATTCCTGCAAATCGTTCGTAACCTACAAGACTACAAGCTGTCATGTTCCAGAAGATAATATTCTTCACAAAAATCACTGTGAGAACCTCAGATTTTACAAAGGAGGAATCTGTTTCTTAAATTTCCAAAATATATAACAAGTAGAGATGTGTTTACATGTCGCTATAACAAGGTTTAAGTTCGGACAGCCTTTGTGACTTGGGAGATTGAAAACAGTTTGCGTGTGTTTACATGCGAATATGACTAAAGCTTAGAAGAACAGGTTACAATGCCCTACAGGTACTCACAGGTATAAGAATTCCAGCAGACACGATTTCTTCATATACAAATATCTCAGTTAGATATGTCACAGTATCTCCTCATCCACGGCGTATTCATAACAGGTGCTGTATCAAGTGGAAACATTTGTACAGGATTTACTGTTGAAACAACAGAACAAGGATATAGCACGCCAGGAAGCCCAAACGCCACTTCCGCTTGCAGTAGAGAAATTGTCGCATTCTGTTCTACAAGGTTGCCATATCCACGCAAGATGAGCGTCGTATGTGTATATTGATCTATAATTTGCATCCATTTATTTATGTCGTGAAAATGGTATATGTTTGTGATGCTGAAGTGTAGGGGAGCATATAATTTTAATGATATGCCATAACTCCTTACTTAATCATGGAGCTGAGCCCTTCTGGAGGAGCCGCGAATTCTGCAGCTACTCAAGAATTTCCCAACATTTTTTTTATGGGACCCGAAGGTTAATTACCATGTTCACAAGAGCCCTCCACTGTCCCCATCCTGAGCCAGGTCTATCCAATCCATACCACCCCATCCTGTCTCTCTAAGATCCATTCTAATATTGTCCACCCACCTACGCCTTGGTCTTCCCTGTGGTCTCTTTCCTTCTGGCTTTCCCACCAATATCCTATACACATTCCTCGTCTCCCTCATTCCTGCTACATGACCTGCCCACATCACCTTCCTTGATTTGATCATTCTAATTATACTTGGAGAAGAGTACAAGTTATGAAGCTCCTCATTATGCAGTTTTCTCCAACCTCAGAACCACAGGAAAAATTAATTTTGTATATTCTAATTTTTATGTTTTTCGACAGCAGACGAGACTTTAAATCCTAAAAATGTAAAAAAGGTAACCCTATCCTTGTAACAGACCGTGGAGGCCCATATGGTTTTCAGACGTCGAGGCTCCAACATTTTCTCTAGATAATCGGCTCACAGATGGCGGCGAAGTTGTCAGCCTTACGCGCCGGTCGCCTTCTACCCCCAGGAAGATTCCTGGTACTCATTTCTGTTAGAGGCTGAGTCGACCCCAGGGCCATAGTGCGGCTGGAAGGATTATGTAAGAGCTAAAAAAAAAAGGGTAAAATCCCTGTGCTAGACGAATTAAACACTACGCCATTAAGACGTATGGGGGAGTGGACGTAAAGATCCACATTTTCTTGATCTCGGCACTAGTTGGAGGTGAGTGATTAGCTTCACGCCCTGGCCGCTTTACCCCCGCTACCCATTGGATAGGAGGTTCGGTGGACCCCAGAGTCGGTCTGAAAGTTTTGGAGAAGAGAAAAAGTCTTGATCTTACCAGGACTCCAACTTCGACCCCTCGGTCGTCCAGCCCATAGCCGGTCGCTATACCGACTAAGCTACCCAGATTCCGGAAGGATTTAAGTAAATTGTAAAAATCCAATGACCTCATCGGGAATCGTACCCGCGACCTTAGGGTTTGTAGCATAGTGTCTCAACAAGGTACGCTACCGCGTGCACCTCACAGAAAATATTTCGTCCCTATTACAAACACAAACCAGTTAATGTGGTTTAAGAAAATAATCGATGTTTATTCTGATATAACATGAAACACGCGCAAAAAAATATTAGTAAGATGCATTTTTGATGTTAAAAACTGCGACACGTGTGGTAACTCCTATGTTTCTGATAAAATACGAAGCATCTTGCAACAGCATTGACCTCCTGACCTGAATTTATCTGGGATTTGAGATTATCACTAAGCGGGGCCCACTCTTGGAGTCTACAGCAGCAACAGAAATTATTACATACATATTTAGTCTTAAGTAGGTCAGCATTTCCGTTGGAACCAAATGTAAAATTAATCTCGATTACGCTACGGAATTACAAAATGGCAGAAACAGGGGCAGTATTTCAGTCAGTCAGCCGACCTACCACGAAAAATGTACCAAAGGAACATGATTATGAGTTCGAGGTAACTGAATTGCTGGACTTTGTCCAAAATGCAGTTGTCTGAACAGAAGTCAAGAACACATCGTTTCGGAAATTCGATCTGTTTTCGTCGTTATGAGGGGATGGGAGACGTCTACTATTTCATCTGAGGAAGGACACAGATTCGGTTTCCGAAACGTTGTATTCTTTAGAATGTCGGACAATGGATATTCCAAAAACCTAGTAATCCCGAGTGTTAAATACCACCGTCAGAACCTTTTACAATCTAATGACAACGCGTAAGTTGAAGCTCTCAAATTTTCTATACAATCGGCGGCGAGGCATTGTGTGAAGCTATCTTCCCAGAATTTTCCAAAGTTCATAGACTGCGTATTTAGTGAAATCAAACAAGAAAGAACCTCCGTGGCCTGTAGTCCGCAAGCGAACTATACCGACCGAGCGACCGCCGCTTGTCGGAGAAGTTAGTGCCAACTTTTGCGGAACGGGGTCCACTCAGCCTCGTGAGTATCATTGAGAAGCTAGCTTACCAATATATATGATGAACATATATTTTAGTTATTTTAGTATGAAGACAGCAAGGCATGCAGTGAAGTAGTTTAAGGTAAATCGAAAAGCACCTGAAGATGGCACCTTTGTGCCGAAACCTGTAGTGCGGGAGTGAGGAGTGAGGTGGATGAGTGTATGCACTGTAAGCCGGCTGGAATAAATCAGTGCAACAGGAGGCTAAAACATAACACTACAGCATAGGTTAATGGACATTCCATATTTCTGAATTCTCTTGGTATGTAAACAGATATTTGAAGTCTGATATTGATACACTGTACCATGACGTTCTCTTGAAGACATAATATATATATGTGTGTGTGGGGGGGGGTCACATGTGTGCAGGCATGCATGTGTATTTGTCTGTATGCAGAATATTCAAATGTATAAATAAACTTGTACATACACGTGTATGTACATGTATTGGCATACTTTTGTTGAAAGAGCTTAAAATGATTTTGGACCGTCACATCTTATTCGATGCTGAGGAATTAGATGTGTAATTCAAGACTTGTTATATAAGCATGTTATGTTTAATGCTGACAGGAAGTCCTGTCAAGCACGTGATGACCATTTTCTCACATAGCCAAAGCTATATAACTTTGATACACATAGCTCAGCTCCAGTTGTTAAGAGTTTTCTGCTCATTTTGAAGTGTAGACAAGAACAGAACTAGTAGAAGTCAGAGTTTTTTTTTTTTTAAGATTTTTAACCATATGTACTGTACATGAGTAAACAAAGACCTACATATACGTATATATATTTTTTGTATCTGTTTCCGTTTTATTGACCACGTTTCAGCTCCACATGTTAATATACACTTATTACTGATTTGTATATTAATAACTTCGTAGAGAGTGAAACATCTCTATTCCATAAAACTGGATTCTGCATGCTAATGACTTTTCTTGCTTCACTAATCCCTTTTTTTATTATTTCAAGGTCATTTCAATTCAAGATTATTTCAATCTGAAAGTATTGATCCTAAATATTCAAACGGTATTGCTGTTGGAATTGTATTCCTCAGTGTCATAAAAATTAGTTCCGATCACACGTATTTCCTCTATCAGCAGATCGAACGGGCACTGCCTGTGAACCTTCAGAACCGGAAATATAATTTCTTGCCTTCCAAATGTAGTCTCTCTCACTTCCTTCCAACTTTATTTCTCTTCTTTTCTCTGAGAATCAATCTTGGAATGAAATTGTCCGGAGAATGAAGAGGTTTCACTATTACGTTAAATTGCAACAAGGGCGCCGGACGTTTCGGTCAGGTTGAGTAACATTTCTGCTTCGTATTCAGGAAGTCCAGGGACAAATTTCGGCCTGAATGCGACTATCTCTGTGGCCTGTAGTCCGCAAGCGAACTATACCGACCGAGCGACCGCCGCTTGTCGGAGAAGTTAGTGCCAACTTTTGCGGAACGGGGTCCACTCAGCCTCGTGAGTATCATTGAGAAGCTAGCTGAATGGAGAAGTAGCGGCTCCGGTCTAGAAAACCGAGATTAACGGCAGTGGGAATCCTTGCGCTGACCACGCGACACCCTCTATCCGCAGAAGTTGGCACTAACTGCGGTCGCTCGGTCGGTATAGTTCGCTTGCGGACTACAGGCCACAGAGATAGTCGCATTCAGGCCGAAATTTGTCCCTGGACTTCCTGAATACGAAGCAGAAATGTTACTCAACCTGACCGAAACGTCCGGCGCCCTTGTTGCAATTTAACGTAATAGTGAAACCTCTTCATTCTCCGGACAATTTCATTCCAAGATTGATTCTCAGAGAAAAGAAGAGAAATAAAGTTGGAAGGAAGTGAGAGAGACTACATTTGGAAGGCAAGAAATTATATTTCCGGTTCTGAAGGTTCACAGGCAGTGCCCGTTCGATCTGCTGATAGAGGAAATACGTGTGATCGGAACTAATTTTTATGACACTGAGGAATACAATTCCAACAGCAATACCGTTTGAATATTTAGGATCAATACTTTCAGATTGAAATAATCTTGAATTGAAATGACCTTGAAATAATAAAAAAAGGGATTAGTGAAGCAAGAAAAGTCATTAGCATGCAGAATCCAGTTTTATGGAATAGAGATGTTTCACTCTCTACGAAGTTATTAATATACAAATCAGTAATAAGTGTATATTAACATGTGGAGCTGAAACGTGGTCAATAAAACGGAAACAGATACAAAAAATATATATACGTATATGTAGGTCTTTGTTTACTCATGTACAGTACATATGGTTAAAAATCTTAAAAAAAAAAAAACTCTGACTTCTACTAGTTCTGTTCTTGTCTACACTTCAAAATGAGCAGAAAACTCTTAACAACTGGAGCTGAGCTATGTGTATCAAAGTTATATAGCTTTGGCTATGTGAGAAAATGGTCATCACGTGCTTGACAGGACTTCCTGTCAGCATTAAACATAACATGCTTATATAACAAGTCTTGAATTACACATCTAATTCCTCAGCATCGAATAAGATGTGACGGTCCAAAATCATTTTAAGCTCTTTCAACAAAAGTATGCCAATACATGTACATACACGTGTATGTACAAGTTTATTTATACATTTGAATATTCTGCATACAGACAAATACACATGCATGCCTGCACACATGTGACCCCCCCCCACACACACATATATATATTATGTCTTCAAGAGAACGTCATGGTACAGTGTATCAATATCAGACTTCAAATATCTGTTTACATACCAAGAGAATTCAGAAATATGGA